GGATTTCATTAACAAGAAAATTCCCTAGCCGAGGACGAGGGAATTCCATCAGTCCTCAGAGTGTTCTGCTGGGTCGGGACCACCATTTTCTGGGCGATTCGGCCCTCGAGCCTCACTCCACTCGAGTCCGCCCTGCCTCAAGCTGTGAGGGCAGGGTACGTGAAACTTGCGAATCTGGCCAACTAATGGACTACAGGTCCGGTTCTTCTCGTCCCGGTGGAATATCGGCTCTGGACCAACCAACCGGGCGATCGGGGGGACGAAACTGAAGCTGAGAACCCTAGAGGCCCCCGCGTAATTTCCCCCGAGCGAGAGAGCAAGCAGGATACCGGAAAGGAGCGCTCTTGAAGCTGGCGCGTGCTGGATGCCGAAGACGGGCGGACTCGTCCCGCGACGCGATTTTGAAGCGGGCAGAGCGGCCTCGGCCAAGTAGTAGCCAACATCCAGAGAAGAGAAAGAAGCGTTGAATAATGCACGAGCCACAATTACACCACTGCAAGTAGCAGTTCTCATCCGATCCGGCGGCCGGGGCAGCCAGGCCCGCGGCAGGGAGGGGCCGAGCGAGAGGAGTGGCTGAAAAATAAATCAATACCCAGTTCTCAACTTTGCGCCAAGTTCGGCTCGCATTGTTCCGTCAGTCTTCGCGCCAGCCGACGTGCCGGCCAAACTTTTTATGAATTTATTGAGCAGCTGAGAGCTCGCGACGGCGTACTGGCGTGCTGCTGCCGTGTGCCTGAGTCGGTGGTCACCAGCGACACGGCAGTCTGCACTGCAAACTAATTACTCCGACTTCCTTCTCTCTGGTGACTTTGGGAGTGACTTCCACTCGCAGGCATCCGCCGACGTTTCGCCGTGTAGCTCTTCCCAGTGTGGCAGCGCGGCGAGGGGGTATGCGCTCTCTGAACCTGTGTACCGACTATTACGCTATTACGCTCTATTACGCCACAAATTAATCGGAATTTAGCTAAAAACGGCCTAAAACACACCAAAATTGATAAAATTTTGACGATTTCGGCTATTACGCGACTACTACGCGTATTATTACGCGTGCTATTACAGATAGAGTGAACCGACTATTACGCGAGTGCATACCCCCTCGCAGGGCGGTGTCTTGTCCGCGCGCTGGTCGCGGTGTCGTGCAGTATTCACCGGCGAGTCCTGCTCGACCCAGTGGCCTAGTCCCCGTCGCGTCGGCACATCCCAAGGCATGCCTCCATGAAGCAGACGTCATGGGCACGCCGTGGCATTCTTCGAGTTGGCTGCGTCACGGTCGCAGCGCAAACGGCGGCGATTGAGTGGCTTTTCGCTGCACACGTCTCTGTGAATCTGTGAAGAGGGCTGCACGGTAAAAAAGGAACCTCGTTTTCCCTGGAAGCCTATGGTAGAGACATAGGTGATTTCCAGGCAGTTCCTGGGAAAACCAGGTTCCGTTTTTGCCGTGTGAAGGTGGAAGACGGCTGGTGGGAGTAGTTTTGCCGCAGACTACGGAGGCACTGCTTACTGGGTACTCGAGCAGGCCAGCCCCGCCTCACTGTAAAAAAATAAATTGGAGAATTCTGAAAGTGTATTCCGAAGCTGCTTCGAGAATCTCCATAGGCTATGTGACTCATTCAGAAGGTAAACGAAATTTCGGTATTTTCCGAAAATTGGAGGCATTTCTTTTTGACAACAAGTTCCCCGGGAATTTTCAAGAGTTTTTGTAACTGCGGGTACATTACATTTCCCACAAAACAGCAATCTTTTTCACTTGTTTATTTTGGCAGCGCGCGGCGTGCTGCTGCCGTGTTGTCGCCCACTGCACTGCCAGAATGGGAACGTCTGGCGGAGAGATTCCAGACTCGCGTTGCAGCGCGCGGCGCGCACACAGATAGCGAGATCCACGCATGCATGAAAGTAGCCTGAGGTTTGGCGGGGCAGAAAGAAGGGGAAAAATCCCCTCTCTTTAACCGCCAAGTTAAACACGACTCGAGGAGCACCGTGAGGGTGGCTGCGCGTTTTAAAAAGAGAGACACAGACAAAGGCTTGTTTGTGTGAGTGCGGGCCGGTGCGGGCCCACCTGACCGCGAAGGATGCCCTCGGCAACAACATTGGCTCGGGGCGACCAGGCCAAGTCGGGCAGTGAAGGAAGCGGGAAGCACCCAAAGGAGTTAAAGCGTAATACGTCTGGGTAACATTTAACCGGCGCCAACGCTGAAAATTCCCGGCGCCGAGACGGTCTCTGCCTCCATCGGGAACGAGAACGGAAGCGGAACGACCCCCGCGGCAACCCATTTTACCCGCCACTGAACACGGCACGGGCGCCACGGGCCCAGTCACTTCCCGCTCGCTTGAAAAAGTTGCCGTTTTCCCGGCGAAGTCCTTCAAGGACTTTGAATCAGAGCGACGATGGGTTTCCCGTCATCGCAGGGGAGGAAGCACACCCTGGCCTGGCCTCGGGCAGCGCCGTCTCTCTCGCACTCGCGGGGCGTCCCGAGGCGGCGCGAGAGAGACAGGCGTCCAATCAAGGCCTGTCCTCGGCGAGAGTGGCGATAAACGAGCGGGCTGCGCACTTCTCGTCGCACTCGTACTTGTTGCAGTGCTCCGTGTCTTATTGGAGCATTCACGGCCAATGTGGCCCGGAGTCCGAGGCCGCGGCGCCGCGGCCCGCAGCGTCGCCAGCGACCTCTCGCTGCCTCTCGCTTCCGCGTCCAGGGACGGCCTAATGACCGGATGAGAGAGAGAGAGAGAGAGAGAGAGGAGGGGGGAGGGACTCGGTGGAGGGGGGGGGGTGCGGCCTCGGCAAAGCAGTGCCACTGGAACGCGGCGAGGCCGGCAAGGCGAGGCAAGGCGAGGCAAGCCGCGAGGAGGAGTCGGGTATAAAACGTTACGGCCGGCGACGTAAAAACAAATGACAAAATCGCGCTCGCCGCACCGCCCGGCCACGCCCACACTGTGTGTGTGTCTGTGTGTGTGTGTGAGTGTGTGTGTTTTCCGCACTGGACCGGCACGGCCCCGGCCAGGCCTTGCCCGCCGACGACTCGAGATATTGGGACGAGAACGATGGATAATCATGCTGCCCCTCGAACCTCGCCGCCCACGGCCGCCGCCGCACTCCGTTTACCCGATTTCGGTCCGCAATGGAAAAGGTCCTCCCGAACGGACACGGCGGCATGGAGTTCCTGGGGATTACAATCAGCGTCCTTTCAAAGCGGCAAGGGAAGCGCGGCGCGTGTGTCGAGCGGCGGAGGGCGGGCAGCGGGGCCGCAGCGGGGCCGCCCGGAGGGCAGGCAACCCAACCGGCACCCCCGCGCGGCGGGTCCGGCCGCGCCGCCCAGCACGGCGCTCCACGCGCAGCCTCGACGAAAACTGCTGCTGCCGCAAAGGACGTCCAAAATTCCTCCCGCAGTGTACCGGTTCCGAGAGGTTTTCCATCCCGGGCAGGCAATATCCTGGGCTTGGCTCTCGAGAAGTTGCCTGGTGGGCAGTCTGAGGTCGGCAATCTTTTCGACACGCGTGCCGCGTTGGAATCTTTGTGCGGCAACACTGCTGGGCCTCTGCATTGATCGCCCACTCCAATCGTGCTGCAGACTGATTCCGAGAGTCGTTTGCCGCCGCTCTGTCTCTCTCACATTCATCAAGTGTGCACCATGAGTGCAAGCGAGACAGAGCGACCAAAGCGATTCACGGAATGAGTCCGCTTCTCGGATTTCCACCTCCCAGGAACGGCGTGAGTGGACGGCGCGGCGAAGCGGCGAAGCGAGTGGCGCCGCCTTTTTCTGGCAATACGCGTCGTCTGCTGCTGTTGACCAAAAGGTGGGGCGGCGGGGGCGGAGAGAGAGGGACAGAGAGGGGCGGAGAGTGAGGCGGAGAGAGACAGGAGATGGATTAAAGCCCCGCAAGCGCTGAGCCCGACTGTGCGGCAGCTCAGCGTGGGGGAGGTGAGAGCCGGGGGCTTAAAAAACGAGAGGTTTAGCCAATGACTGGCGATTTGGCCGACGCCACCGGCGACACCCACCACGGCGACGCCCTACATCTGGCGGCGCGGCGCGGCGCGGCACCGACACAGGCCAGCCCGCCAGCCCGCCCCCGACCTGCTCCACTTACGGACCGGCAGAACTGACCCGCCGTCCCGCCGTTTCGGCACTGTGCTACCACTGCGTTCGCAGTCGTGTCCGCTCCGTCGATTCGACCGGCGACTGCGGCAAAGTAGTTCCGGGTGTCCGGGTGACAAATTAGTGGCGACCTTGGCCAGGCTTTCTTTCCAGGCGCGCTGCGTGCTGTGCAGTGGCGTGACCTCCAGCTCTGGACAAACACTGCAGTCCATAGACGCGGCTTGAACCAAACCCACTGGACTGCCCTTCGTGTAGGAGCATCCCATCGATATCGCGTGTTGGCTTCGAGTCCCGTCGGTCCCGTCAAGGCATCCCGAGCAGTGCCCGACCCGTTCGACGCCTTGGCCTCCAGGGAGCAGGCCCTCCAGGGGCTGAGGCGGTCGTCTAGTCCACCGGAACGATCGTCGTCGAGCAGTGCCAGGCAGTAGCCAGGCAGTGCTAGCGCCGTACCTGCAGCCCGTTCGCCTAATTAAGTTTTCACACCTCGGCGACACTTTGCAGGGCTCGGGGTGGCCAAAAGGTGGGAGGGGGAGGGCTCCTCACGTTACACTGTGCAGGGGCGGTCCGAGGGGAAGCGGAAGGGGGGGAAGGGGGGGGGGGCACGGCGAAGGCGGCAGACGACGCTGCACCCCGGTCCGGGAGCCCGGGGCGGGGCGGCGGGGTCATTCCGCTGTTAGTGCCGCCACCCGACATGCATCATCGCCCAGACCGGAGGGTGGATTCCTCCAACACCTTTCCCAGCCCCAAAGTTAATTACGGCCATCGCTCGCACTCGAATTCGCCACGCTCCTCAGACAGAAAAAACGCACAAAAAGTCCTGAAAAAGCAAAACAATTTTTTTTCTTCTGTTGGTTGGAGGCGATTGTAGGTGCATGGGGTTGGATGGCGAGTTTTACAGAGAGCCACCTCCTCGCATTTTCCTCCAATTTTATTTTGTCTTTGTAATGCTGTCTTAGTTTTATTTACAACAAGAGTCGGTGCGTTGGAACTTTTACAAACGCACACATGCCTCCGAGGCTGCATGTTGGCGGACTAAGTTCTTCGATTCCATTTGAAAAAATGAGTGTTGCGTCGCGTGTGGTTGAGTACGTGGTACTATCACTCGAGAAAGGCATGTGGATCTTTGAGCCCCGTCAAAAAAGGCACGTCGCTTGCTGCGTGTGCGGATCCAGGAGGGCAGTGGGGGTAAGTCTCCCCCCCTCCTCGGGTACTGGATAGGTCACCTGGAAGGCAGGCCAAAAGCACTGCTCTGCCACTGTAAGTGGCTCGAAGTCCTGGCTCCGCGCCGCGTCGCCGTGGTGTTGACGTGGAGGTTCACGGTCCGACGAGGACCTGCAGGGCGGCGACGGGGCCGCAGAGCATTCCCGCGTTGCCGGGCATGTGCAGCCAGTTGTTGAGGTGGAAGATGTTGCGGTCCGCGGGCGCCGTCAGGTTCACCTTGGCCGCGGTCTGCTCGAAGGCGAAGAGCTGCACGCGGTGCAGCGTGGGCACCACGGAGCCCTCGGGGGCGGCGGGCACGGAGGGGCTCATCCAGGCTGTGGGCAAGAACGGCAGGCACGCCGTCAACACGAGGTTAAACTCCCGCAAAAAGGCGCACTGATCGGGGGATTCGAACCCTCGCCGCCGCAGCGGCATTACCTGTCAGGCTCTCCGCGGACTCCACCTTTCCAGTGTACAGCTCCTTCTCCTGCAACAACAAGCGGAATATATGGCGCCGGCTCGATGAACGCACACACCACGCGCGCATGCACACAAAAATAAACGGAAAACTGGCTTAAAACCTAGGGAGTGACACAGCCGGGGGAGTCCCAGCCCCAGACCGGCGCGGCCCGGCCGGGCCCCTCATGCATTTATGGAACACCGTTCTGTTTGCTTTACTTCCATCTGCATTGGGTCGTATGAGAAAGCAATCCAACTTAAGCGTGGCTCGGGCGCGGCTCGGCAACGCGGGGCACGGCCGGGCACGGCGCGCAGCGAGGGCGCGCTGCTACAGCGAGCGGCACGGCGGCGAGGCGCGCGGGGCACAGCCATGCCACAGCCACGCCACAGCGAGGAGGCACATCGGACGAATTCCTGGGGAACGCGACCACCCTCCACTACACACACACACTCGAGACGAGGAAAAGTGGTCATCCGCATTCAAGCACTCGGCCACCACTTGTTGCGGGGAAAGCAGAGAGCCCGCGCCGCACAGCCCGCCACGACGATTTCACCATTTCGTATCCGCCGGGCGCTCTGTCTCCCTCGCATTCGCGCGTTCGTACGCGAGTCGACCCGCGAGTGCGAGAGAGACAGAGCGAGGACGGAATCGCTCTGCATTCAACTATATTTACTCGCCACTCAAATTACCGCCGCTTGCGGTGTGCTGCGCGTTCCGGCCAGGCAGGCCCGGCGGCAGGCGCGGCGGATAGCCAGACACGGGTTTCCGGTTAGTCCGCCAAAGACCGCGCTCGTGTGCGTGTGTGTTTATGTGTGTGTGTGTGTGTTCGTGTGTATGAGTGTGTGTGCGCACGCGCGCCCCGTGATATGCCGCGTCCATGTGACTCGGTTCGCACGGACACGCGGCGCGGCGCGACGGGACGACAAAACCCACCGCGCTTCCGTCTCGTCTCGACTATACTATGAGAAATTCAGATTCAAACCTGTGGCGGGATTGGAATTTCAAATGGCGTTGGGCAAGGTCAAGGGAGCATAAACAGCGAGAGGCGTGCCGTCAGCCTTGGCGATGGGCGGGGCGGGGCGGGGCGGGGCGTGGCGGGGCGGGGCACTGCTAAGGTAATGCTTATTTGGGAGGCCGTGCCGATAATGGCGATGGCGGAGCGCAATTGCCAGTGTGCCGATTAGCGTTCCTGTCGTCGCTCCGTCTCTCTCGCACCCCTGCGGGCCCTGCGGGATGCGCCGTGAGTGCGAGAGAGACAGCGAGTGCTCGTCTATAAAAAAGAGCCAGCCATGGCGCCGCAGTGCCTCGGATGACGTCACCGATGGGCGCGGGGGCGTGGCGTGGAAGTGGGTGACGAATGTTGGAAATGGGAACGAATCGAAGCGAAAACAACCACGCTGGGTAAACTAGACCGCCGACACGTATTTTACCAACTTTCCGCGTATTTGACATTTGTTATTTTTTTGTTCCAATTTTTTTAAAAAATGATGGGCTGGTTGGCGGAGGCGCGTAGTCAGCGGTCGGGTAGTTGAACCCGGTCCCGCTGTTTGTATATCCCTGTCCCGTCCGTTTACCCGCGCGGGACACATTCGCCCACGCGCTAGCGCGAGCTCACCCACATCAAACAGCACGGATGGACAGCGCGGGTCGCCAGTTTTCAACCGAATGACCCGATCCGGGACGCGGAGCGCGGAGCGCGGAAAGAGGAAAAAGGGGGAAGCCCGCGCCACAGGTGTGCGTTCGAGAGGTGTGCACGGCCAATTTAGTGTATGAGAAAGCTCGGCGACGTCGGGACATGGCGACCAGGAAGATCTCGAGACACGGGCAGTGCGGGATCAGACATGCTACAGTGTCAGAGTAAACGGAATTGAGAATGAAGTCAAAATTAAATAAAAAACAGACGTCGTTTCCACTAGCTGCGTTCTCCCTGAGCGACCACGCCACTGTCGTGCACTGCACTGCTTGCCTGGCGGCCTTACCGGGATGTTGGTCTTGATCTGCAGCAGCTGGAACTCGCCGTACCGAAGACCGGCCTTATCGGGGTCCACCATCACGACGGTGTAGCCTCGGTCCTGCGGCGCATCAAGAGGCATAAAGAATCCGTGTGATAATTACAGCGTAGTCTCACGGTCTCGGCGTCACTCACCACGTCAGGGAGGCTGAAGCGCACCATGGGCTCGTTCTCCAGGTCCGTCTTGTTGAGCATCTTGTTGCAGGTGAAGGAGTCGGCGATGGCGTTGCCGTCCGCCGAGGTGAGCGTCAGCCCGGCGCCCAGGTGGCACACGTTGCCCGGGGCGCCGCCGCCGCCCGGGACCAGCGCGAGGCACTGGAAGCCCGTCCACAGCGACAGCAGACCCGGGTGCGCCGCCACCGGGGCCGCGTAGCCCGGGGCGTAGCCCGCGGCGTAGCCGACCAGGCTGGGCGACATGCTGCGGGCAGAGGTGGTGGAGGTCAGGCCCTTCAGCCAGGTCATTTCGAAAGTCAAAATGACTTAAAAACTTTACAAAGGAAGAAAAAAAATTTCCAAAAAACTTTAAAAAAGAAATTACAGCAAGAAAGTTACAAAAAAAACTTAACAATATTTTACTAAGAAAAACTCTACCAAAATTTTTTTACGAAAATAAATTTACAAAACATAAACTTGAGGAAGAAAAACTTTTTTTAGAAGTGTGGCACTTGGAATGCAGCGAAGCCCGTCGCTGCTAACGCCAGCTAACGCGACGACACGCCGTTCGAAACATAAACTGGCGGGGCTGTCGAGCCGCACTATGTTACAATGTCACAGCGCGGCGCTGTTGCGTCTCGCGTCTTAACGCCTCGTCATTAGCGAGTGGCCGTTCGAGCCTGAACGCACCGCGGGGCGTGGCGGGGCGGGGCGGGGCGGCAGCGCGCCTTTAATGCCGCGAAAAAATAAGCGGCCCGCTCCCTTAATGGCGCCACGCGGACTTTGTTGTGAAAAAGTGTCGTCTTAAAACGGTTTGCCGAGAGCAGCGCGTCGTCCTCGGCGTCCTCGACGTCGTCGTCGTCGGCGGCGACACCGCGCCGAGAGTAGTCCTCTTGGCGTCCAGCGGCAACGAGCCGTGACGCCGCGCGCCCCGCCACGCCCCCCGCACTAACCTGCAGCAGTGCCGCTCTCCAGTCGCACTCCAGCGCCCCTCCAGCGCCACTAGTGCCCCCCCCCTCCCCGTCCCACGCCCATTACGCTGTATCAACTCCACTTAGCCGGCACGCGACAAAGCGATACAGTCACTCTTTTCCTAGTCGCGTGCTGTGATTACCTCGGCCGCGCCGCCACCGCCTCCTCGGAGCCTTGGCGCCGGCCCTGCCCCGCCATCCCCGTGGACCGCAGTGGGGCCCTGCCACTGCCCTGTGGGGGCCCTGTGAGGGGCAGGGGGCCGCAGCAAGGGGAAGGTGGGTCCGCCGAGGGGGCAGGGCATGTAAAGTGAATACTATAATACGTGCGCCGCGGGCGGCCGGTGGACCGAAACGTACTGCCGCAGCGCCGGCCGCGTCCGCTTCCAGTGGAGTGGGGCCCGCGGGGCCGCGGGGAGCGACCAGCGACCATCACGTGCACGCTTTTAGTCATCTTCGCCGATCTGGGGGCACGGCGGCGCGCGGCAGCGGCCCGTGCCTCGCCTCGCGCCGCGCGTACGCACGTCCCCGTACGCCCCGAGCCCCGCTCCGCAGAGCAAGGTCGCCCCGCCCCGCCCCGCCCCGCCCCGCCCCGCCCCGCCCCGCCCCGCCCCGCCCCGCCGCGTCTCCCGTTCATTTGCATTCGGCGAAGGCTCTGGGACGCGTTCGAATGCCGTCGGCCACGCTGTTTTTACATCGGGCGTCCAGTAACGCTGCGGCTAGCAACCCGCGCACCGCACGTGTGCCAGAGAGAGAGAGAGAGGGAGAGAGAGAGGGAGAGAGAGAGAGAGGGGGAGAGAGAGAGGGAGAGGGGGGGGGGAGAGAAAGAGAGAGAGGGAGAGAGCGACGCATTGCGACGGAGAAGGGCGAAGGGAGAAGGGAGACGGGTATGAGAAACGCTGGTCTGGCCGGCCGGGCCGCGCAGTGGATTTGTAAATATAATGGAGATTAAAGCGGTTGGAATGAGACGGGGCGGGGCGGGGCGGGGCGGGGCGTGCTCGCGGTACGCCCGGACGGGGATAAGGCCCGGCTGAGGCAAGAGTACACAAGAATCCTCTCTCTCGGGCCCGGGTGCCCCGGTGCCTCGCCCTCATAAGCAAGCACGGCCAAACAAACAAATTGATTCCCAAAGTGGGGGAAGGTCGCACAGAGGTTTATGAGGGCAATTTGGTGAAGCGGGCCGGCGCGGCCAGGTGGCGGTATCAGTGCGGGAGCGCGGCAAAATCAACACGGGAGCCGCGTTCAGCGGACCCTCTCTGTCTCTCTCGCACCCCTACAGCACCCCCGTGGGCGTGCCGGAGGGACAGAGCGACGAGTTTGGAGTGGCCGCGTACTCACGCTACGCGTTGACGTGAAGGTGCTCTGGCGGGCAGGTGGGCTGGCGGCAGGCCCTGGTCCACACTCACTCAGCTGCTCGCGGGTACTGGTGGGTACTGGTGGGTGCTGGTGGGTTCTGGTGGCGTCCAGCGCGTCCCGCGGCGCGGCACCGCGGCACCGCGGGGCCCCCTCCAGGCCGACGGCGCCAAGACGGAGACGGCCCGGGCAACGCAGCACGCAATGAGCGGTTAGCGCGCATAGATTACCTCCATTCATTTCGCCCGGGCGACCGCCACGACGCCCACCGCGTTTAGCCGCCCGCTGCTGCATATTCTATTTTCGTTTCCGCTTTTTGGCGCCACTTTTTGCCGCTTTATGAAAAATTCGGCGGGTCGCTTTTGCGTGGCGCCGCCTCGCTGTCGCGGGCCGGAGGCGAAAGGAGTCCCCCGACTGCATCGCCTTGGCTCGCCTTGGCGCGTGCGAACTCTCACGCGATGACATCTCGCTCGTCCAGCGCGTCCAGCTCGCTTGGCGGCCTCGGGGCCTCACAACGCAACGCGTAGCGGCGTAGCGTGGGAGCGCCCCCCCCCCACCACATTCGGCGATACTCGTCTGCAGGTGCTGGGTGGAGAGACACCTATGCATTCTAATTGCAAGGGAAACAGAAGTACGGCAAAGAGAGCAGATCATTTGACCTTGACGTAGAGGCGGTCAAAATTTGGCAAGAAATTTGGGGAATCGAACCGCTGACCGGAGGTTCGACTCCTAACAAATATTTCCATTTAATTTTACTGCCTCACCCAGTGCGGTTCAAACCCGTAAACGTGAGCCCACTCCGAGCATGGGACGTGGTGGTCCAGGGAGTAGAGGCGTCGGTTCTCAGTGCTAGGGTCGGCGGTTCGACTCCCCCAACTTCTTGCGAAATTTTGACCGGGTCGGTCGAGTCCTGTTGCGTCAAGAACCCACCTCACGCCGGTCCCCTCATCATGGGCCGTGGTGGCCGAGAGCGTAAAGTCGTGTGATCCCGATGGCGGGGTCCGGGGATCGAATCTCATCATTTCATTACATTTTTCGACTGCCTTCCTCCCACTGCAACTCAAACCCGTCGTCCAACACGCTGCCAGACGTACAAGCGTGATAGCGTAGTGGTCAGAGTCACATTCACCTGGCCACTCCGCTGTGGGTGTCTAAAAAGCAATCCGCTTCGGCGGGTTGGCCTCGGCACTGGAGCGATGGAGTATTTGATCCATCAATCCAGACCATCCGGTGTGTGGTTGCGGGTGGTGCCTCCTCGATTCGTCGGGGAGGCGATGATAAGTCCTTTGAAGCTGGCCTAAAACGCTGTATGTTCGGTACGGGAGCGCCGGACAGTGGGGGTACCATGGGGTACACAACCAACCCTACGAAAACAAGAAGCTCCCACCAAACCTCTTCTCTGTCTGAGTCTCTCTCTGTCTCTCTGTCGTCTCACTCTACGTCCCGCCCCTCAAAGAGCTTCGTACTGGGTGCTCTCACCCAGCTGCCTGAGCTTTGGGGTCCTACTGGGTCCCCCGGCGAACGCTTAGAGTCGCTGACGGGATTAACCCCAGGTACCTGATAGCACCGGTTCCCATCCCGAACACCGAAGTAAAGCAGGAGGCCTCCCCATTAAGACTGGGGAGGGGTGTAGAGTTCAAATTTTTTCTTTTCCCTTTCAAATTTCTCAGGGCAATACTCGTTTGGGTTTTCCCTTTTACGGGGTAGTATGCGGGCTCATTCCAAAGATAGTAATTAAAATTGTGTATGAAACAAAATATATAGACCCGAGCGAGGTGGCCGGTGTTGGTACTTTGGTACTAGCCGTGCCGAGCTGTGGCCTGCACCGCCCGCCGCCGAGCCCGAGCTGGCCCGAGTGCCCCGGGCCGGGCCGAATCGGGAGCTATTGTGCGCGATATTCCGCGCCGTGGCAGGCGGGGAGGGATTGTCAATGTTGCGCGCAGGCCGTCGCGAGCGAGGAGGGGGTGCCACTGTTTACGCCCGGTGCCGCTGGCGCTGTACCGAGGAGGGATTGTCGAATTCCGCGCAGGCTGCGCCTCATTGCCAACCACACGCACCAGCCCGCCCCGGCAGCCAGCCCCTATTATATTGTTTAGGATACGCGCTTCGTTTCTGGACTCGAGAGTAAAAGCACGCTGACACCTTCATGTGTATAGTAGTTTTAAGTATGTTTCAAGTGGTTTTAAGTGTGAAGGTATCATCTGCTAAAAAAAACACACAAAAACAAACAGAAAGTTAGTCATTGGGATGAAAAATTGTTAATTACGGCGGCATTATAGGACGCGACATCAACTTGGCGGGACCGTTAATTTATTCACGAGATAACAGAAAGTAGTATGGAAAGCGGGGGAGGGTCTCGGTTGCACCGCGGATCGCTTTATAAATAACCAGAAGCATCCCCCCTCCAGTTATCATAATAAAAGGGTCAGATAACAACAAGAATATGGCACTTACCTGCACTGTGAAACAGCGCCGCCGAAATCGGAGGGCCGCGAGATTAGAGTGGGGTGCAGGGCTGCGCCTCCTGGGCCGGGCCGGCCGGGCCCCTCCAGTCACGGCCGCGGTAACGAGCACTGGGAAAGGAGACCAGGAACAGGGTTCTTGGGGGGACAAAATAAGAAGAAGTGCCGGTATTCGAACCCGCGACAGTCCCTGCTTGTCGCGCGCTGCAAGCTGGACGTCTTTCCCTCGCCACTCCGTTGCGAGGCAAATTGTGCACTCGGGCGGAAGCGGCGCCTGCATTGTGCGGAACGCAAGGCGAGTGGATTTTTGCATGAAGGGGACCACGACGACGACCACCACGGACTTGGCCAGGCGGCGGCGTGGCGGCGGCCGCGACAGATGCAAAGTGTCTGACTGGCGGAGGGGATTTCTGGTGGGGCTGCGCGTGCTGCTTGCCTATCGGGTGTAGGCCAGTGTAGGCGGGCCTAGGCCCTAGGCATGGACGCAGCGCCGACGCAGCGCCGCTGCTGTTTCTTATTTCCGATGGCCGATGGCACTGCACAAGGGACTTGCTGACTCCGCAGCGCCGCGTCGCGTGCTGCGAGCCCTCCACGAGGACGACGAGGACGACGAGGAGGACGCGGGGCCGTAATGGAGCGGTTATTACCGCCACAGCAGCCGGCATGCGACAAGTAGCTCCCTCTGGCGAGCGCTGCCGGCAGTCGGCAGTCCGAGCAGGTCGCCGCCGCCAAGCGCTGCGGACGCATGCCGAGAGTCGTTCTCGTCGCTCTGTCCTTCTCGCGCTTGGACGGCACGCGCCGTGAGTGCGAGGGAGAGGGAAAGGCGGAACCGACTCTCAGTGTGCTGCCAAGCACTGCATTCGAGGCATTTTATGCATGTCTCGCGGGCCAGGCGGCGGGGCGCCCAGCCCATGGGTCCCCGCGCCGCGGCCGCCCTGGCGCCCTGCGCGGCGGCCCTTCGCACGTAACGGGTATAAAACCGGCAATAAAGGACGCCGTTCTCTCTTTCAAGGGCTGCCCGGCCCAGCGCCGCCGGCCGCCGCCAGAGCGCGCCCAGGGCCCAGGCGCCCAGGCCCAGCGCTCGGACTGGCGGGGCGGAAAAATTGAAATTACGGTTAATGGCTGGAGGCGGCGTGCAGCCAGCAGCCTGCTCCCGGGGACTCCATCCTGAGCCGCACGCCCACGCACGCACACAGACACACACACACACACACACACACACACACACACACACACACACACACACACAATACTATTACCCCAAGGCAGGGGTCGCTGGGCAATGGCGGTGCAGCCTTCGACGGTTCTTCGATCAACGTCATGAAATAGTCAGCACACTGCGTTGTACTTCGGCCCAGCCTCCAATTGGCTGCCTGCCTGCCTGCCTGCCTTCGGTCGGCCGGTCTGCCGAGAACCAACTTCCATGCAGGGCACAGTAGTTCCAGTCGCGTTCTGGCTTCGCTTTCAGGCTCCAGTGTAGTTGCCGCCGCCACTGCCGCGCGGGCTGTCGGGGTCCTCGGGGAGAGCGGCCCGCTGCCGCCGAGGCGCAGGCACTGGGGGCGGCGGGGGCGGCGGGGCCGGCGGGGGCGGTCCGCCCTGCCAAATGAATTAATTGCCCCGCCAGTGTTAACATTTAGTGGGCGCAAGTCTCTCTGAATAATACGACAATACCTCTTCGCGTCCTACTTTGGACTAGTCCCCCGTCCTCGTGCGGGCCGATGGCGCGCAGTCGCTCTGTCTCTCTCGCACCCATGCGGGACGCCCCGTGAGTGCGACAGAGACAGGGCGACTGTTCTTAACCGGCCCGCTGGCTACTACTCGTCTCCGTTGCGGCTTCCCGAACTGATACACTGCCAAGCCGAGCGGACGTGGCATCCGATCCGCGCGAAGGTGGGAGCGAGACGGCATGCTCTACCGGTGCCGCGACGCCGCCACCGCAGCCGCCGCTCGCGGCCGCCTAGCCAATCACTGCCGCACTCTTTCCTTCCCAGCGGCCAGCCGCGGCCAGCCGCCTCGTTCTCATTAGCAGACGATAACTTGCACGTCGGCCATGCAGAGCATGCAGAGTGTAGAGGGGCCCGCAGCGCCGCCGCGGCGGCACCCAACTTTACTTCTTTTGTACCGTGCCACCCCGCTCCGCCCCCGCCCCCGCCCCGGGCGGCTCGGCTGGGCAGAATGTACGGTACGAGGTGTCGGCGGTAAATATCCCCCGCCTCCTTCTGGACCGCCCCTGCAAGGCCTCCCCCCCCCCTCCTCGGCACTTTGAGTCTGAGGACGCGGGCTGGAGGGCCGTGTACTGCGGCAGCGCGGCCTTCTCCTCCTAGCGAGGCCTGCGGGCTGAGAGTCGCTTTCGTCGCTCTGTCTCTCTCGCACCTAGACGGGCCGCCCTACGAGTGCGAGAGAGACAGACGGCTGTCGGAAGCAGCCTGCTGGCCTGCCTGGCCTGGCCGGGCCGGCACTCGACGACTAGGCGCGACTAGGCCCCTGTTGGCACGGCGCGGCCCGGCCATGCCGTCGGCTGCCGTCGGCGTCGCCGAGCCGCTTTGAAGTCGCGCTGCATTCTTGGAGTGCGTTACAACTCGAGTGCGCACGCGGGGCCTTTGTTGGAGTC